CTCCCAACATAGCGCTTCCCATGGGTCAGCACACTATAGACCAAACATCTGAATCAGATGCGAAAGATAACGGTGGCTATCAACGGGTCTTTGCATTTCGCAAGACGACTTTCGCTGGGTTCGCTTTAGACCTGATCGACAAGAACACTTCCGATGTGAATACCGAGGAACGTCGGGAGACATTTGACAGGCTCTGGGAAAAGGGCGGTTTTTGGTTCTGGCTGGGAACATTCCAGGACATGTACACAAACCAAGAGGCAAACGATCTTGCATATGCCTATTGGAAAGATAAGGTTCGGGCGCGTATCAACGACCCCGTCAAACAGGAGATTCTCGCACCAACTCTTCCCCCTCATCCATTCGGCACCAAACGTCCTGCTTTAGAGCAAGCTTATTATGAAGTGTATAATCGTGATAATGTCGCACTAATCAACATCACGGAGAACCCCATCGTCGAGGTTACGCCCAAGGGTATTCTCACCCAGGACGGCGTCGAACACGAGCTCGATGTTCTCGTCCTTGCGACTGGGTTCGATGCGGTGACCGGCAGCATGTCGCTCATCGATATCAAAGGAACAGATGGTACCATGCTGAAAGACAAGTGGGCCAAAGGACTGACCACTTACCTTGGTATGACGGTGGCGAAGTACCCCAATATGTTCTTCTCGTATGGTGCGCAAGCTCCGACCGCCTTTTGTAATGGTCCTACTTGCACAGTAAGTTATAAGATTTTATTCGTATACCTCACCGAATCATAGCCCCATCACCTTGTCATAGGAACTCCAAGGTGACTGGATCACAAACTGTATTGACTACGCACGAGCCAACAACCTCACCCACGTGGAAGCCAAAGAGGATGCACAAAGTCAATGGGTGAAGATCGTCGGTGATATTTTCCAGACACAGCTATTTAGTAAAGCGAAGTCTTGGTACACCGGTGCGAATATCCCAGGCAAGGTGGTCGAGTCCATGAATTTCACAGGAGGTCTTCCGCTTTATGATAAACATATAAGGGAGGTCGCAGAGAAGGGGTATGTGGGATTTGTATTGAAGTCCGGGAATGAGGCGGAGGTTGCTTTTAACGGATAGATTTTGCATCATGGGTAACCGGAAAAGTGTGTACTTTTATGTGGGTCAATATCAAAGGTCGGGATTGCATGCCAGCGAACAACACAAATCAGACTGAAAAAGTGTGATAGAAAATATTGAAAGCGCGATTAAGAAAGAGCTCAAGTAGTATGTTTTTGTTATTGATTTACGTAATTCATTACGCTCTAATCTTACAATGCATAATGGACAATGGAATCGATGCTCATCATATTTGACATCTCCCGAGCACAACACACTAGTAGTCGGGAGGAGAGCCGCGGCCGCCATCTGAATGACTGTACTGACTACCGGGAATGGGGAATGAGACAATCAAGCCTGGGGAGAGGTGACGGAAAGGAAAATTGTCAACAATGCCGGCGTAACAGGTACTAACAGCGAAATAATCAACGACCCTCAGATCTCAGACCCGGGCTCATTCGGACTCTCATGCACATAGCATCTCACAATATTCAGTATGGATCGATATATTTATCAACTACTATATTACGAATCAATGCTACGATATGGGGTTTTCAAATACATGTAATCACGACAAATACACAATGATGGTGCAAATATAATCCAGACGGCAGTATATCCAACAACTTCACAACGTCAGCACTACCGCATCTCCATGGGAGGTGCCCACTCGGGGACATGTCCCCACTGGAATTCCTGGCTCGCAAATGCATCCTTGGCAGCCTTGGGAATAATATCCAGATAATTGGGCGGTAATAGCACTGCGTACGGGTCCTTTGAGTTTTCAAAGCTGAATGATGCATGGTCTGAGCCAGGCTTTGAAGACAGTTGTGACTGTAATCGAGGTTGGGCTGGTGTTTCTGTCTGTATTTGGGGTTGTGCCCCTGCCACCGATTGATTCGGCCCTCCGAACGCGGATGCTGTAGGAGGATTATTCGGTGTGATGGTGGCAGGTCCAGTGCCACTGTGACCAAAAGCAGAGCCTGCACCGCCCGGACCAAAAGCAGAGCCTGTACCGCCCGGACCAAAAGCAGAGGCAGCCGTAGTCTTACCAGTGCCAAATGTAGACGGGACGCCACTCGTGCCGAAGGCAGATTGCGGGGTGCTAGTCGTGGTTCCAAAGGCACTGCCCGTACCTCCCGCGCCGAACGCAGATTGCGGTGCTGCTGTGGGATTTCCAAATGCAGATTGTGGTGCAACCGCAGTGGTTCCAAATGTGCTGCTCGTGGCGGGAGGCTGCGCGAAGGACGCGGGCTTTCCCGCGAAGGCGCTGAATCCACCGCCAGATGATGCTGCGGTCGGTGCGAATGCAGATGTGGATGGCTGCGCAGGCTGGGAAAAGGCAGATGGCTGTGATGTTTGTCCAAATGCAGGTTGTCCGAAGGCAGAGGCGGGCTTCACGGGTTGGCCAAATCCTGATTGCCCAAAGGCTGGCTGGCCGAACGCGGATGCAGGTTTCACAGGCTGACCAAAAGCCGATTGACCAAACGCAGAGACTGGTTTGGTAACCGAGCCGAAGCTAGATGTTGGCTGAGCTGGTGCCGCAAAAGCCGATGTGGGTTGAGATGTTTGACCGAAGGTAGACGTGGGTTGACTGGGCTGCCCAAATGCCGATGTCGATGTCGATGTGCCAAAGGCTGAGACTGGTGCTGGAGGTTGTCCGAATCCGGCACGACCAAATGCAGATACTGGTTGAGATGGTTGCCCGAAGGCTGGTTGTCCGAAAGCCGAAGTTGGCTTCGTTACTGATCCAAACGCGGAGGGTGTCTGCGTGTTTCCGAGTGCCGACGTCGGAGCCTGACTTCCATGAGGTGATGCTTGAAATGCAACTGTGAACGCATCCAATGAATTATCTCGGCCATTTTGAAAAGTTCGTTGGGCTGCAGATATTTTGTTTGCTTCATATGTTTTCTGAAGGATGCTATGAGCAATGATACGGAAGCTAGATTACAATACATACATATGCTTCGACTTGATTCATATCACCCGACTTCATGGCTTGCCATGCCATGTATCGAAGTTCTTCGGGACTCTCCTCGATGCCCGAAATCAGGATAGGCTCACCCTTGCCTGGACCATACGAAGAAAGTGGCCACAAAGGCCTGTCTTCATTTTCTGTAAGATCCTTCTTGATAGACTCGGCACTACAATTGTGATGGATGTCAGTTCGTTGCCAATGTGTGATCCTTAGGACATACGTGAAGGCTAGTGAGCTCGACTTGCTAGTACCGCCAGCCGTTGTAGTCGTAGGACCAGTCGTAGTAGATGGGGTCCAAGTCTGGTCTTGACAAGAAGTTCATGTGGGGTCATTGTAAGATATGAAGTGAATACATACTGCCAAATGTTGGTCGTCCACCGTTTTGAGGATGCTCATTTCTACATGCAGCACCGAAACGACATGAACCATTCAGAAAATACTGACAAATCGCCTGCAACAAATCATGAGATGTTATCCAGGGAGTTTAGACGAGCACATTTACCATTCTTTATTGGACCAGTCAGGTTATGATTAATTGAGTTCGATGTGCCTTGAACGAATAGACACTTGTGTGGCGAAATATCTCGCCCACGCCTGATTGTAGTGATATGTAGACGGACGCAACGATGAGAACGAACGAAGTCTCTCTAATACGGCTACGGAATGACTCGAGTTATTTGTAGCACGGCGGTGACACAATGTGACAGGTAATTATGTCAGCATGTTCGGTGGTTATATAAGACGCTTTGTTCTTGATCTTCTCCCATAGCTTTCAACCAACGTATATTTTGGAACCTGCATCGCCCGACCCTAGTCTGCAGGCGTATGAAGGCATTTATGAATTGATCCATTTAAGACATCTTTAAAGACTCAATCCAGCGACAACGTACGTTAGTCACCGTCCACTTCCACACTTTTTTTCTGATTGTTACTGCCAAACAGGTTTATCTTAGGTTACGTTGGCACCTGGTCTTTCTGTCGTCATAAGTTTTTCTATCTTTGTGTCTCTTTTTTGGCCCATCTCTGCCCGCACAGGAAGTTTGCTCTACCCTGATGACGGTTCTGGTGGAGGCCCAGACTAAAGCTACGCTCGTGGCTTACAACTCGAGCTGGCGATTGAAGTGTGTGTCTCCGAGGCTTGGAGATGGACTTATGTATCGCCCGACATGTCGTTCCATCTATTAAACCGTGATAATATACATGTCCTTACATCGGAATATTATTTCGATTAAGCAAGTTTAATATATTTTGTAATATGCTTTCCATGCATTGAGCACATGCTAGACTAGTATCGAGTGCCGCACGATCCCTGCGTGCCGGGAGTAGTTCGGCACTCAACGTCCAGCCGAGCGTATGAAGGAGTCGCACGCCTTTTGTTTCCTACGACATCTTTGTCAGTACAGTATCTAAAATTTCGCATCCTTTCACGGATTATCATTCATTAATTCTTCCTTTTATTTCTCCCACCCACCCTTCCCCATATTGAAGATTTGGGTTAATCAATGAATCAAATTTAGTAATTATTGATTGTTTAATCTAGTGTTAAGTGAGAGTGAGAGTTGTACTGCGAGAGAGGACCCGCCCTCCCGAGCGGCGAGTCTTCCCACGCATACGCGGAGAGCTAAGCTCTCCCCCTACCCAACCATACAGCTCTCTGCTCTCATCATGACACATAGACGAAGCTGGAAGCTGATACTCAATCCGAATTGTGTTGGATAAATAAATATATATAACATCATGGGTTTCTCAATTGGATTAGAGATAACTTGTAAGTGTTCCAGATGCACAGATATGGGGAATAAATAAATACAGTTGGGGAAATCCTTTGATTGAAATATAAAAAATGTGGTACTGAAGTTTGTCAACGTACCCCATGAGCTCTGCTTTGCTGAAGAATAGGAGAAAAAATGAAAGTACCGATGGATGTGTCAAATATGGGACAACGGATCAAAAAGGGCCTAGCCGGGAATTGAACCCGGGACCTCCTCCATCACTGAGTAAATCACTCAGCCCTAAGAAGGAATCATACCTCTAGACCACCAGGCCATCAACGCTGCCGAGATCCATTAACCTTTATGTATTCATTGCCCAAGTGAAACCTTGCAACAAATCAGTTATCCATTTTCTATTGCTATTTTCAGAAAATGATGCGGGTCTAAAAAGATAAAAAGATTCACAGAAATCAGGTTAAATAATGAGGTGAGAGCAACCAATATTTGAACATTGACACTGGTCGTTGTATTACACACAGCAGGATTAAACTCGAAAGAATTTGTTTTATTCATTTTCAGAAATAGCAACTTGGCTTGACATTCATTTCCATTCCGAGAAGTGAAGTTCGAAGATTTGATGAGATGCGCGCCTAACTACTGTATCCTTTCCCATGAGGCCACCACAGGTTCTCTAAACCTTCCCTGATCTATATGCCCAGACCTATTCGCATAATTGTCCCTAAGCTTGACATGTCTCGTTATGACCCTAATGTTGTTACCAGTCCAGGACAGCTGTCCGCAGCAATAGGCTCGCCTAGAAGTACGTACCGGTCTACTAGAGCAACCCGAACAGAGAAGACCACAAGGCCTTCGCGGCGGCATGAAAGAGCCCCTTCAGAAGAACCTCCATATCAACCGCCACAACGGGGTCTAGAAGTTCCAAATGTACCAGAAATACGAGTCACTTCACCTCCATTGGCGTCTCCCAACGAGGAGCCTGCTATGCTGCCCGGCGGAGGCCTCGAGATTCCGCCTAATTTTCAGGCGGAAACCACATATGATGGTCACTACCGTCCACAATCTGCGGATATTAGGATAGGCGAGCCGGACCCTTCACAGCTGTTCGGACGCATGTTTAGAGGTCTAAGGAGACTCCCCGCAGCAGTTGTGAAGGCTGGTCGATCGTATGGTCCTAGACAGGATACGGGCCAGGATCAGCCCGCTGAGCCGGAACCTGAAATGCAACAGCAGCAGGGATCTTCTATCCTTGTTGGGTCCCCCGAACAAGTCTCAGGTCACTTCCCGCCGCGGAGCGACGTGGAAACGTATATTGAGCCAGACGAAGATGATGATGTTCCCCGGGAGCATATGGCTCAAGAATATAATCAACAAAGACGTCTGCGTCGAGATCGCATGTTCAACCGGCGTACCGTACGTGATCGCTTTATACCCCCTCCACAACCTGTCCCAGTTCCCGGTTCAAGTACCCCTGTCCCTTCACAAGTCGGCCATTCACAAGTCACCTACACAGATGCAAACTTTCCCTCTTTGCAATCTCGACTTGAAGCTGAGGAACAGAGACAGGAATTCGAGACTCGGTCGGAAGCTCAGGCAACCGAACGTCCACGTCGTGTATACGCTGCTGATGTAGTTAGGCCGCCGCCTTCCTCAATAGCCTCTGCAGATCAGCAGTATCTATCTCCTCCATTCTCCAATGCCAGTCGTACTTCCGAGCCACTACCGCCCCGCGTTTACTCACAATGGGCAGCGCCGGCCCACCCCCGTGGACCCCGGATCGAAAACCATCGTGATGAGCCACTTCCATCGTCCCCATTTTCTGCTATGGCTCGACTATATCGGCAGATCCGGGACATGCCATGGGTCGGTGAGCGTGTAGCTGCTGACTACGTCCCCGGCGCCCGAAAACCCGCCAGAGATCCCTACGATACCTTATACCCTCCACCCGACTCTGCATTTTCTTCGCCTCTTTCTCAGCAGAGTGGGCTGCCTTTACCCGTAAATTTGTCGTCTGTACCCCCGCTTCCTCGTAGCAAACCAGGCCGGAGCTGGTATAATGTTCAGGATAGCATTGTTCGTACCGAAGATGGGGTTGATTTCCTTGCACTTCCTGACGGTGTTCCGCCACCCCCGGGCTTCGTTAGATACCCTTACCCCATTCCTGAGGGCGCCCGCGCTATATTTCACCCTGGATATTTGCGTGGCAGCGGCGGTAGAGGCGCACAGTCAGTGACTACCTATACTCAGACTGACTCGCGCACTCCACTCCCAGGACCACCTGCTAGCCAGACTCAGGGACGTGGACGTTCTGCCTCAGGGTTTGGCTCTGCGTATACGAATAGCCAGGCCTATTCGCATTATATACCGGCGGAGGCATCACCCTTTGGTGAATCGTATGTTTATGTACCTGGGATGGATGGCAGACATTTACAGGTTGGTTCTGAGGCTGGCAGACAACCAGGTTCTGTTTATTCGCAGTCAATAGCTCAGAGTGGTATTCCTGAGAGTTTGAGACCGTAAAATTTATCCAAATTACCAGCTGGAATGGACATGATAAAAAAGGAGGGATTACAAAATATTTCATGACATTATGACTGCTCACATGTATCAATTACTCGACGCTTTTTGTAGACATTACAAGCTTGCTATATAGACAATATAAACACCCGTTTATCTCAAGCTAATTAAGGGGAGGGAAATCCAAACAGTGAATTTTCATAATTGAGTGACGTGAGTTGAAGATCAAAAAATATTTATTGTCTTTGTTGCTGAACATCGTATCGCTAATGTTTTGCGAGGTCCCGTCGACCCCTGAGTCTGTGAGAGCAATAGGACTTTCGGGCCATACCTATTTTTGTAACTGGTGGACAATGTTTTCAACAAAAAAAAAATGAATTTTAGAGTACTTGTTCTTCTGTTATGCATTGCATACGACCAGAAGGAATTGAGCTACATAACGCACAACAAAACAAACTTGAGCTCTCTCTTAAAAACTAGTAAACTGATAATTGGTGTGTGTAGGGTGCGAGTGCATATAAGTTAGTGCCCAGAGTCTGGTGGGTTTTCTGGTCGTAACAGGCACCAAATGGCAGATTGCTGGAAAGGTAAATACTACAGATGGGGTTTCAAAAGGTAATTCCCAACATCACTACCTAAAAATATACTCACTTATCATTTTATATTATTTGGCATTTCTAGCACATCCCTGTGTTCTGTGATGATTGGGACCCTCAGCTATTATTCCTCTTTGTCCCTGATCAATTTCCATGGTTATATACTCCCTTTCAGACTTTTCTCTGACCACCTGACCTTGTACCTCATGATTAGACCCAATTGTCTATTGTCTTGTTCTCATATTTATCCACCCATTGTCTGTTTGATTTGTCATAATATCTGCTCATGGTACAAATACTGTGATGTGAAGTAGTTATACCTCAATTCATGTACATATTGACTTTGAATCTGGTTCATTCTTTGTCTCTGACCTACATATTTGCCTTAGTCTTCTCCTTTCTTACTACGCAACCTAAGTACCCCTTTGTTCTTGAACCTACCCTTGGGTCTGAAAATACATTAAGTCCTTGTCTGTCTGAAATTAGGACACTGATGATTCCACAGGGGTGCAGCACATATGTAAGCTGAAGCCAAGTCCTATCCATCCTCAGCACACCCTCAGGTGCCCCCTGTGAACTGGGTCCTTAACACTCATTCCTTGTTCTCATTTTAGCCTACTCTTTGTTTCCTTGATTTGAAGGACAATACTTCCTCTTGATATAAATACTATAATGTAAAGTAGTTAAAGCTCAATCAATTCAAATATCAACTCTGAATCTGGTTTATTCTCAGTCTGACCCAGTGTGACTTAGACCTCATCTCTACTCTAGCTCTCCTTATTACCTCCACATTCCCTCATATCCCATACATACCAGTCCATTGATCCAAAAATACACTAAGTTCCTGCCCATTTGAAATTAGAACACTGACAGTTTCCACAAGGGTGCAGCACATAAGCTGAAATCAAGTCCTATCTGTCCTCAGTATACCTGCAAGTTGCCCAGAGCCCCCCTGTAAACCTAGTCCCTAACAGGTTTGTAGCAAGTATCATTGTATGTTTCTATTGCATACTTCTTGCTTGTTTTGAAGTATCATACCAAGCACCCAACAGTTTCATGTGAGGGCACAACACATATGTTGAAGTCAAGCTCTGTTGGGATAAAATCTTAAAGCTTGTGAATCTCAAGCAGTGATGAATATCATTTCCATTTGACCCTCTGTGTCTCTTATGAGGCAAACGGATGGCGTAAGTACAAGAAATATACACTAGTTATATATGCCTTGAGAACAATAGACGTATGGCAACAAAGGGTTAAGCCAAACTTAAAAGAACAATAGTGGCAAATTGCCGGTGTGGCACCTTGTGCATGCTCACACAGCCCTATATTCTAACAAGCTCCTCTTGCCTTAGTAATTGGAGTCACTGGTTAAGTACATACTTACCCTTCAGCCCCCCATTTCTTGCTTTCCTGCTTCAGTAAGCTCTTAACACTGTGTCTCCATTTCAGCCGCACCAGTGAACCACAGGTTCGGTCACTTGCTTTATCCAGCGTGCGCAGTTAAAAGGCACGTCCTCCTTAAAATGCCCATAGTTGGAGCGTCAATGCCGAAGTTGCTTTCGGATCAGAAGCGGTGACCCAGCTGCGGAGATGTGTCAGACCGGCAGATTACGAACAACCTTGGGAGTCATAATCCCGGAGGAAAGCTAACCCAAGCACCCGCTCACACCCACATGTTGATAATTTACTCTATTTACTAATCAAAGCATGCACTTACTTTAACCCCCTTAATCATGTATAGCGAGCGCGTTCCACGCGGACCCTCACATACCTGCGAAGAAGGCTCAGATCCCTTACCCCCCCACAGTAGAAGATTATATTTATATTATCTTGCATAGGGCCTGCTCTAATAAATAAAAATGGAATTACAATAGAAAAAATGGCCGATTTCCAAAATAGGGTATTACAATGTTACATCTCTTTGGCCCAAGGACCATGTATTCGATATTGATATACCAGAGCCTACTACTGGCTCGCTAGCCGGAGAGTAATAAACACTTGTCATTCTGAGCTTCTCAGTTCAGAGAAATACGTTCGGGCTGGCCCATATTTTCTATGATGGATATGCCCACATCCAGAGATACAAATGACCAGTTTAAATCCACATTTTGAAGAGGAGACGAGTGACAATTAGACACTGAAGCTTGCACGGCTTTCGAACTCCTCGTCCGCCTTGCCGTGCCCAGCAATTGTAGTTGGTGAG